AAAAAAAAAAAAAAAAAAAAAATTACGACTCATTTACCATATGACTCACTCTCTCTCACACACACAGGCATATGTATATATAATATACTTTATCTAAATTATTTATGTGTTTTGTTTTCTATTTTATTAGACAATAATATACCATAAACAACTAATATACTAATAATATTCTCAAAAGATCCATTTCTATTTGGTAACTTTTATCTTCTTAAATTAGGCTATGTTTGGTAAAACTAGCTGATAAACTAACTGATAGCTGATAAGCTAGTTTATAGCTTATATGTAATTTTTGAGCTTATAGCTTATAGCTTATGATTTATAGCTGAAAAGCTAGCTTATATGATAAAAGGTGTTTGGTAAATTAGCTGATAAACTAGTTGAAAAAAAAAAATTCAACTAGCTTATTTGAAAAGCTACCTAAAGTAGCTTATGAAATAAGCTCGGGCTTTTTAAAAAAGCTCGTCCTACCAAACGAGACTTATTTTAAATAGGGAGCTTATAAGCTAACCAAATAAACTATAAGCTAGCTTATTTGGTTTACCAAACATACCCTTAAACTAAGCAATATCTTTTTTTTTTTTTCCCGAAACGATAGATTACTCAATAGAAGGAAAACAAATACAAAGGTCCCGTTTGGAAGATAGCGGATTGAAGATAAATTAGCGGATTGGACTTAATTGAGAGGTTTGACCCGTCAAATCCGCTATTCAGTCTGTTTGGTAGATAGCTTATTTGATAAGCTTTTTGAGCCCAAAACTCTAATTTATAAAAAGCTCATTAGAGCAGCTTTTTGTGATAGAGGATTCAACAAAATCGTTTACTTGGAACTTTTTAATTTGTATTATTTATTTTACAATCTACATTGGTTAATGTGCTAATAAATAATAATATGTCATCCATATGATTAATTTATCTAAAAAAATGTAAAATTCATAACTCTTCATCAAGTGTTAATAAATTTTTTAAAAAATAATATATTTATAAATTACCAACTAAAGAATATCAAATTTTTAATATATTATTATTATAAAATGCACCCTAAATAATAAAATGTCATTATTGGTCATTTTGCAATGTCAAACAACTATAAGTTTTCAACTATTTACCAAACACGTATTTAAAAACCACTAATGTAATCCGCTGGTCAAATCAGCTAATATAATCTGCTATCTGCTATCCGCTGATACAATCCGCTGATCGCCAAACAAGGCTAAAGTCTTTACAACCAAAGAGCTCACTAGCTCTACTAATAAAATACAAAGGGAGAGACACTCTACTTGGTGCTCTAATACAAAACACAAGCAGGAAAGCCAATGACTAGATAAAATAATAACAAACTAGATAAGAAGCTTGAATTATGGGCTCTGATCATAATGTTGAGAGCAGCAGGAGAGCAGGGACCTACAATAGCAACCAAACCCACAATCACAAGAATTTGACCTCCAGTCTGCAGCAAGCTAGCAAAGAAAGTATTTTCCCACTGAACCAAAGGACCTGGAAATGTACTTCCTTCACCAACTACAACATCAATTTGATATTTTTAAATTCAGTTAAGAATGATTTGGAGAAGCTTGGTGAGTCGCCTATTTTGGTTTTACTATCGTATTAAGATCACATGTCCACTTTTATTTATTTGGTATTACATATTGTTTTCTTGTATATAAATTGCCCTCCATGAGTGTCGTATAACAGTACTTTGGCCAAACAACAAAGCCCTAATATAATGGTGGAGAAGACGTAGAGTTTATGAGTTCGAGGGTACAAACAACTTGATATGCAGATAACCCATATATCATGGCCAAATCATTCCCCCGCGAAACATTATCATCTTTGATATTATGTGCGCTCACCTCATCGAGGCATGGTTGCATGTCATTCGTGACTGCAAGATCAAGGTCGTAAGTAGCCGATTCATAATCATCGTCGTACATCACCTCGCTCAGGGCACTACTGGTGGACCAGATGGCCTCGTCATATGACGAGCTGCAGTTGTTCAGCGCGAACTCACGAGTGGGCCCCATACCAGTCTCGTTTAACGACTCCTCGATGTAGTTGAGCGTCGCGCACAAATACGAAATTCCCGAGCGCATGATCGCGATCGATAAGTTATATAGATCCGTAGCCGAGATGATGTCTGGTTGTGATTGAAGGACTTGCTTGCACTCGGATTTGGATTGCAGGCGAGGTTCGTCGCAGGCAGAGTCGATCAATTTTTCGGAAGTGGGGGGAGGGTTGTCAGAAGAGCTTGTACGGATTGCGTTCGTGGAGAATAAGGATAAGAGAAAAATGGTCAATATGAAAATCGAGACGATCGGATGAGGCGCCATTGTTGGTGGTTTGAGGGATGCACTAAAGTTTATGTTAATAGTGTTTGTTTAGTATAGGGTTTTGATTGATATTCCTCCTATATATAGTTTCAAAATATATGCCTTGAGCCTATATAGCAAACTCTCGCGATTTAGAATCTTATTTGGCAAAAAACTATACTTCGAAGTTAGGCTTGGATAAAAGTTAATATTTTTTATCCGGAAAGTTCATACAAAATCCATGATTGATTGTTTCTTTCTTCACTTTTACAATTAGTTACCATAAACAATTTTATGTTTCCTTATCCTACATTACCATACAATTAGTTACAATAAACAATTTTGTCTCAATTGCAACTTACATATAGACTACATAGAAATTGTACATTATAACAATCTAAAAAAAATATGATAATCAAAATAATAAAAATAATTATTATATTTCATAAAGTTTAAAACACCTATCTATAATTCTCAATGTGGTGAGCCTGAGTGACAAGCTTGCGTGCTTCTGGATCCTATTTTTCACAATTCTAGGCTTTGGATTATACATAATTAGGCTTGGGTTTTATGTCAAATGTCAATTAGGCAAGATTATTTTCATAATATATTAAATATTTTTTTTTATTGAAACAATTATTATGTATTACATTTCATATATTTTTTCTTCCACGACTACCTTAATACTTTCTTTTTTGTTTCATTTTTTTTTTTCTGTTACATATCTTTACTAAATCAATCATGTTACTTTATCCTCAATCTTTGTCTCTAATATTCATATTTTACACATTTCGAAGATGAAATAATGTGATATTATTCTTGTAAAATGATATTTATTAATGTCGTCAATCTAATAAAAGTAAATAATAGAAAACTGTGAAGCACTACTGACACGACACTTTGATCTATTAGACATCTAATTACGTAAAAAATTAATATATTTTACTTAATATTCAACAAACATATTCTACACTTATGCATATACATATCAACATATTGTTCTATTTATTTAAGATATATATTTTTGTACTCATATAATAGTAAATAATATTGATAATTATATATATTACAAGTAAAAATATTCAATATGAGTTGACATTTTTATTTAATACACAGGTGTCTAAATATTATTATTAGAAAAATTTAGTTTCAATATCTAATTAAAACTCAAAGTTATTAAATTATTTTAGTTTTAAAGATTTTTTTATAATTAAAGTTGTACTATTATTTTAACATATACTTTTTAATTCAACACACGTGTAATAAATGGGTATTGTACGAGTATTTGATTATTGTGGGGGTAATTATGCTGCTGTACAATTAAATAAAATAAATAACTCTTTACAAAATCTTGCTCATTCGAATTAGATCAGATTTTGAATCAACGGGGGAATGATAATACCATATTTTCCGAAAGATTCAAATATTTCAACATGCTTCCATCATTTTTTTTTTT